CATGCAACGTGGAGCCTTATATATACATAAAAACCTGAAAAGGCTTAAAAATTAATTCTGGACACAAAATAACAGAGTTAAGCATGGTTTGCTAGTGGCATTTTCTTGGATAGGCTCTATTTGATTGAAGCAAGTAGAGATATATCTCCTTTAAGAGAGGTTTTCCTGACTCAGTGGTAACAGAAAAGTCATGCCATTTTGAAATGCCAGCTTTCTGGGTTGTGCTGCCAGCATGACCTCTGGTTCTTTCAGGAGTCAGAGCCTTTGGATGGAGTTTGTGAGCAGCAGTCTGCAGCTTGCTTGATGTCAACATGGACTAGCTGTGTGCCTGAAAGTGCAGCAGTGTGTGTACCTCTCAGAGGCCCAAGCTGCTTGCTCAGCCTTGCTGGACTGGGTGAGGCATACGTGCAGAACTGTATTTGATCTAGTAATGTCACTGTTTAAGTTTTAGGAAATGCTTAGCATTTTAAGAAGTATTCCTGGACAGTAAGGCATTACAGATACATAATAGGACAGATTCAGACATAAAAGACCTTTAAATGGGTCACACTACTGGATAAATGTATGCAACCTTGAGAGAAAGAAGGAAAAGAGTATAGAGAGTTATTAAAGGAAATAAATGGTTTGTAAACATTCAAACAAAGTTTTTAAAGGGGGTAAAAAATACACATAAAGAAGGAAAATACACAGTCTGAATTATGGTGTATCAATATGTTTTTTTTTTTTTTTGGATTTTTTGACTGTGAAGGGGATAAATACAAAGAGACTTTTCCTTTTATGGATTGCTAAGCTAAACCAACATATATACTTTCAAGGTATCTTGATTTCAAAATATGGATCTAAGAATATGTTGCTTTGGAAAAGAGCTTCTTATTTTGTTTCCACAGAGGATGAGTGGATTGCATCCAGACTAATGTGGATTGATGGACCAAGACCCTTGAAAGGTTGCCTTGAACACTCCTTAAAAAATCACTTCAGCAATAAACAACAGGAAGCAGTTTGGAGAAACTATGCCCATATTACCAAATATTGTTTATAAATGTTTATTTATATTTAAAGGGGATATGCTATAGATAATTGCATTGGTATGGATCTTGATTTATTGATACAAATTTTAGGTCAATTTTGTTATATGTATATATATATACATACATACATACATACATATATATATATACATACACATATATTTATGCTCTTGATTAAGGTATTGTGATTGTGCAGCTCATTTAAAATGTAATATACAATTAAGATATGTAAGTTAATAGATAATCATCTATAATAGTAAAGCTTGTAGTTATGTTAGTTAGTATATACTAACCAGTTGTATAGACATTCTTCCAACCTTTCAAAGACTAGAGAAATATATCATTCTGGAGTCTTTGATGGAGTTAAAAATTTATAGTTATAATTATAGTTTTCTTTAGTTATTTTAAAAGATAAAGTAGATATAATTATTGGAACCATAATTCTTTCTTGATACCTGTTTTGTTATATATAAATTTACTATGTTAAAGTTAAAACCTTCCTTTTCATTTAAACAGAAAAGGGGAGGTAATGTGGGATTTCCCTCTGTATGCTGTGATTACCGTTAATAAATATAGAACTGCTTTGAGCCTACAGCAGAGAAGAACAGAACTAGAGAGGGAAAGCTAGGCTGTATGCTGGGAGAAAGGAATGCTGAGTTAGAAAGAAGTGATGGAGCCACGTGAGACAGATGCTGGGAATTTCAGCCAGTAATCTACTGTTATGTGGTCATATACAAATTAATAGTAATGGGTTAAATCAATATCTAAGAGATTATCCAATAAGAAGCTAGTAATTTAATTAATACAGTTTCTGTGTGATTATTTTTGGGGCTAAGTGGCCAAGTGGCCTCCTCCTAAAGAAATTTCTATCTTCTTCAGATACAAAAGTCTCTTTCAGAAAATGCACATCATGTAACTATGTTAACAATGTCATTTCAAAATAACCATATATAACAGGTTGTCTCAACAGTAACCATAGGAACCATTAGATTTCAGCAATGCGTCTACTCTTTGTAGCACCTACTCTGTGCTGAGGGCTGTAGATACAGAGATTAAAAATAGCAAGTTTTACTCAGAAATCTCATCTACACTTAGGAAATCTAACAGTGTAAATAGCTAACCCCATGTCTTTATTCATTGTTATGTAGATTTTGAGTATTTTTCAACCATTCTGGAAATGCTATGATAGTCTTCCATTTTATTGAAGGTACAAATGTGTTTTATAGTGAATGAACACTTTGTCTGTCTAGATTTGTGGAGCTACCAGACAGTACAATCAAGAGTCAACTTACCAATTCTTAAAATTCGTGCTCTTTCCACTATATCCAAATGTATATTGTAGATGCTGTATTATGACTTTACCATGTTAGAGTTTCAGGTTTTGGCTTGAGGAACTTAGGGAAACTTTCCTTGAACCAATGCATTTTTTTTTCTAAGTCAAACACACTATCTAAAGAAATTTTTATTCTATTAAAAAAAGCAAAACTTCTCATATGGAGAATGTCTTTTACATTTTCATCTTTTTAACGGAAATTTGCTCATCATTTAAACAATAAAGACCTTTAAGAAAAGTAAAAGTTGCAGTAGATCAAGAAGTGATTAAGTTGAGTTATGTGTATTTATTTGAAGCCCCCATCCCTGCTGCTTTACAAGAATTCTTTGTGAACCCTGTAGATTTCTTCCAATCCAAAATCAATGATTTGGGTGAAGGTATAATCTTTATTTCTCTGTGAGAAAGAGATGCATTACGAATAAGAATTAAATGAGTTAAATTTACTAATGAATGTGAACAAATGTGATAAATTCCTCTAGAAAAGGGAGAAGAAAAGAAAATAAACACAGTATAGTAAATAAACTGGGAGAAAGGCAGACAATTTCAATTCAGTGGTTTCAACAGGGTGCTAAGAATTTGCATGTCACAGTTCACAACAAAATAAAGACCACGTATGAGGGAGCCACAAAGCTTAATGCTGTATAAAGTTTGCAGTTCAGAAGTTGGAATTCCAAAATGAATCAGTTAATCAGTTTCAGCCCTTTGACCTGAAAGGAATTATCATGCCAGAAACATGTGTCAATGAGATAATCTTAAGAAAAAAACTGAAGAACCCAGGGCCAAGTCCATTCCTTTACAAGAACTTGCATCTAGAGGAAGTGACAGGGATCCTACCAGAGCTACACAAACTCCTTCAAAGGACAATACCCACATCAGCCTAGCTACTGTATGCTTGACCCAGGCTATTAGAACTTCCACACAAATACCTGGCAGAGGAACCTTGGGGGACACAAAGATATTATAGTCATTCCATTTTGCTATAGGTCAAAGTGGAGAGAATTTACTTCATTGAAAATGACACAGCGGCTTACTTGAGATAATTTGATGCAAGCAATTTAAAAATCAATTTGTATATTTTAGCTCCAGAATATTTCTACTCATTTTAGCTTAATACATTTCCTCTTAGACTTACTGACAAACCTAACGTTCTAACGTGACAAACCTAACGTTCTAACGAAAAACTGTTATGAAAGGAAAGTGAAAAGGAGAGCCATATCAAAGTATGTAAAACTGATATTGTAATTCATATATGGTAATATTAGGAATAACTAAAATACAGTTTTCTCATTATTTTGTCACAGTTATCTCACATTAAATGAGTGTGTGGGAAGCTTAGGGCAGCATAATTGATACAACAGCCTGGTGTGTCTACGTTGTATAAGGAAAAAAAAGAACAATGGAATATTTTTCCTTAGAATCAAATTTGGCTTAAGAGTAGAGATCATGATCTAGTTACTGAGCAAGATTACAACAATTAGCCAAGAACCCAATACTTAGCAATATCTAAACAAGTGCGAAAAAGCACACAAAAACTGAGATAAGACATGAGTCTCTAAAGTCATATTTGCTGAAGAGTGTTATAAAACACAGTGGGGAGTTACTATATAATCTATCTATTTAAAAAGAGTCCATATCAGGCTAAAGTATACATAAGTATCCATTTCCCAAAGCTGGTAAATGTGCTAGAGTTTTCAAGATAGACAGAACCAATGAAAATAGGATTCCCTGTATTCTAAAGTGATTGTGGGCTGCACTGTGCCCTCGCCATTTTTTTTTAAGAATTTTTAAAATACAGTATTTTTTTTTTCATTTTACATAGCTATCCCTGTTCTTACTCACTCTTCTCCTCCTGCCCAACCCTTCCCTCTTCAGCTCTCCCCCAGGCCCCTGCCATGTCTACTCCTCAGAATGGGTAAGGCTTTCCATGGGGAGTCTGACATTTCATTTCCAGGCAAGACCAAGGCCCTCACCCCTATAGCTAGGCTCAGCAAGGTATCCCTTCAAAGAGAATCTGTGGGGCATTGACAGTGGAACAATGATCTGTCCCTAGTGCTTGCCCCTAATGGTGTCTTGGAGCCCTGGTTTTTCTTATAGCAGGAAGAAGAAACCAAAGCTTTTCCAGGTGTTGAGAAGTTCTGCTCCTGTCCTTGTCAAATCCTGGTGCTTCCAGATACATCCTTGTTTTCATAGTCTTTTGTCTGCTGCTGACACCAGGCTCACTAAGTGCCACCTAGCAGTGTTGGGCAGGGTTCTCAGAGGCTTATGGAAGGGAGGTAGAAACAGGTCTCTGCCTTGAGGGAATTTTTTTTTCTGGCCTACTTTTGCAAGTATCCCATGAGCTCGAGTGGTAGGTATCTTTCCGTGGAACAGCCTTCTCTGCCTTTTGTGGCTGCTATAGAAGAGAGGCCTCCAGAAGCCTTTGTGGCAGAAGGCTACCCAGTTGCTCCTCCTGGTCTCCCAGGTGTTTGTAAACACCAGAAATCCTGGGCGTAGCCAGAAAGACCACTGCACAAAGTGAAATTGGAGATATTGCCCACTCAGAGTATCATAAAAAGACAGATTTTTAAGTTTTATTCTCTTGTGTATTATATTTAACTGCAGTTTACCCACTACCTATTCTCTCAGTTCACCACACATACCTCTCCTCTCCACGAGATCCACCTTTCTTCTGTTTCCCTTCAGAAAAGGGCACGGCTCCTACAATATCAATCAAATATGGTGTGTCAAGTTACAATAAGACTGGTCACATTCCCTTATATTAAGACTAGATGAGGCAACCCAGGAGAAAGCTAAAGGTCTCCCAAACAGGCAAAAGAAGCAGAGACAGCCCTCACTCCCACTGTTAGGGGTCATAAAATAATACCAAATAACATAACCATAATATAATATACATGCAAAGCAGAGGACCTAGGTCAGACCCATGCAGGCTCCCTGAATGTCGGTTCAATCTCTGTGAGACCCTTTGAGACCTCTTTAATTGATCCTGTGATGTGGGAGTGTCATATATCAATCTGTTGATTTCATTGGTTAAGCAATAAAGGAACTCCTTGGCCCTGATAGGTTAAAACATAGGTGGGAGGAGTAAAAAGAATAGGATGCTGGGAGGAAGAGGAAGTGAGCTCAGACTCGACAGCTCTGCTCTCTGGAGCAGAGGCCCTGCTTCGCTCTCCTGGGCATACGCGAAGCAGCTCTGACCCAGGATGGACGTAGGCTAGAATCTTCCTGGTAAGCGCACCTTGGGGTGCTTACACACATTATTAGAAATGGGCTAGTCCAGGTACGAGAGTTAGTATAGAAGAGGCTAGATAGAAATGGGCCAAGCAGTGTTTAAATAAATACAGTTTGTGTCTTGTTATTTCAGGGCATAAGCTAGCAGGTGGCCAGGATGCTGGGGACGCAGCCCCGCCACTCCTATTTCAAGAATCCTGTGGGGTTTTTTTTATGCTTTTGACCCCTCTAGCCTCTGCAATCTTTTTAACCTCTCTTTTCTGCAGTATTTTCTGAGCTCTGCCTAAATTTGGCTATGGGTCTCTGCATCTACTCTTATCAGTTTCTGGATGAAGCCTCTCTGATGACAGTTTTGCTAGGCTCCAGTCTATGACTATAGCAGAGTATCAAAGGAATTATTCTATTGACATTTTTTGTTTGGTCTATACTAGGTCTCTGGGCTACCCAGATTCTGGTTCCTGGTGTTCCAGGGAGTATCAGACATGGACTCCCTCTGGTGGCATAGGTCTCAAGCTGGACCAGTCATTGATTGGAAACACCTTTATCACAGCACATCTTGCAGTCAGGACAAATTGTAGGTCAAAGGTTTTTGTGGTTGGGTTTGTGTCCCAGTCCCTCCACTGAAAGCCTTGCCTATTTGCAGAAGATGGCCAGTTCAGACTCCTAATCCCAATTACTAGGAGACTTTGCTACCCGCCCTGCCTTGTAGATACCTTGGTTTTCCATTGCAGTAAGTTTATACCTTGCCCCCAAGTCCCCCCCCATTCCAGTTGTCTTTCCCTCTAGTCTTTCCCTCCATCCCCTCCACTGGATCTCTCCTGTCCCATCCCCATTCATTCCCAGAACCCAGGTGTTGATGTCTAAAGGTAAGAGATTCTGAAATTATGAAATCTAACAGGAGGTCCCAGCTTCCAGCAATGAGGGAGGAAAAACATTCTTCTTTCCCACAGCCTTTTAATTTCTGTCTGATCTGCTAGGTCATTACTGAAGGATCTTAGCCACTGAGTCAATGGTCCCACCTCCAAACTCTTCTGAAAATACCTTTGCAGACACACCCAAAAATGCTTTATAGTTCCTTAATAAAGTCAAAGAAGTGCCTGAAATTAACCAGCACTGGTAACTGTAGAACTGAACCTCAATAATTCTCTGACATACCCTCTCCCCAGCTCTATTGAACTTTCCATGAACTCTCTTGAGGATCACACTGCCTAGATAGTAACCTTTTCAGAAGATAAATCAAATGAGATTGAATTGACATATTGTAAATGGGACAGACGCTACTCCCCACTTCAGCATTTAAGAAAACCCTGTTACAGGTGACTCAAGAGCCCTATCTGTTTGCTTTCACTGAAGCATGCGTGCCTACTGACATCAGCCCATCATACTGTGTGTTCCTTTGTCTCACTCCCTTAAATTATAATCAGGGCAACAATTGTAAACAAATTTAAATAGCTTGGCAAAGACAGAATAGCTTCTGTTCATATGACTGAAGTTCAACTAGTTTCTAATTGGAAACACATCTTCTAAAATTGGGACTCCTCTTTGTTTACATAGTGTGCTTACATTTTTATTTCAAAGGCAGCAATTACAAGTGGAAATGTTAATAATTTTATGCTTCTTGATTGCTCCAGGTAAACCTGAGATAAAGGCAAGCATGCCTTAGTAATGATATAAAATGTGCAATTATATGACACTTCACATTCTGTTGCATATATATTTTCTGCTATGTTAGAGCAAGGCTTATGAAAGGAGCAGGTTTCCAATACAGAAAACATATTTAATTTTGTATAATGAATCACTCTGATGCTGATAAATGCATTTGATGAAATTTTATCAAGTCTCACTACCCATCCCCTCTTTTGATTCCATAACATATTCCTTGTAAACAAAACCTGCATCCATTATTTTAAAATTTGTTTTTCAATTAAGCTATTTCCTTTTGAAGTCAAAACAAACGAATTAAAAGTAATTCTTAATTATTTTAAGAATACCCCTATTTCTCCACTTTAAAATAATTGCAAATAGTTGCTTGTCATAAAACAAAATCTTCAAAGCATTCAGAATTGTACTGATCTCAAGAATTTCATAAAAATTAATGTTTCTCTACATACCTTCAAAATGTCTAACAAAACTTTTTCTGGAATGAAATTGTTACCTTGATGACAGCAATTTTCATGAATGTTAAACATGCATATATTAGTAGTTTATATATGCATATAGAACTTAAATATGTATTTCTAAAGTTCTATAAAGAATCTAAAATGTGTACAAGTAGGTCTGCTAGCATGACTGAAATTCTAGAGGTATATCAACTATTAAAATTATTTCTGAAATTATGTACATAAATTATGGAGGGACCCAAAGGTTATTTTATAAAGAGTCTAAGATTGGTCACTAGTATTTGCCATTCTTGAATTCAAATTATACTTTGTCTAAATTATGAATTATAAAAACTTAAATTTATCTTTGAGATGACCAGAGTAAATAACTTCTAATATTAAACTCTGAAAATACGTAATAATAGGTAAAAATACATAATAATTACTGATGAAAGATGAAAACCTAGTACTTAGAAAAAACTGAGAACCAAGCAATCAGTGTAAATGTCAAAGATAATGCATGAGGTATGTGAGCTGAATAAAAGAGACTAAGAACACTCAACAATAATCTTAAAAATTGTACTATTGTGTTTTCAGTACAGTACGTGAAACAAAAGAGTAAGCTGTTGCAACTTTAGTTTGGTGTCTAAGTTGAGGTTTCTACTACTAGAATAAAAACACCATGACCAAAAACAATGTTGAAAGGGAAGGATTCATTTCAGCTTCCAATTCCATATCACAATCCATCATCCAAAGAAACCAAGGCAGAAACTGAGGAAAGGAACTAGAGAAGCTATGAAATAGTACTGCTTACTAAATTGTTCCCCGTGTTATGAATGGTCTTTATATATATATTGTATTATATATAATCATATATATATGATTATATATAATACAATCACTTAGGAACACCAGACCAGAGGTAGCAACACCAAAACTGATCTGGGCCCTCCCATATTATTCACCAATCAAGGGAATACCACACGGGCTTTTCTACATACTAATCTAGCGGGGGTATTTTCTCAATTGAGGTTCTCCAAAAATGATTCAGCTCATATGAATATAAAATCAGGCAGCACTATTGAGAGTTTTGTAAAGAGCAGCAAGAGGAAGTTTAAGGGCATCACATATAGGTGGAGTGAATCTGACAAGGCATAAAAACAAGATGAGTGAGATGGATTGTATCCCAAATGTGTACATGTCAAAGGTTTGGAGAAAACAGACTAAGATTCAGAATCTGATGAAACTGAAGTCTAAACAGGTGGACTTTGAAATGGTATTATATTACAAACAGAAGAAAAATTACTGCTTTTCTACACGGCTAGAGACATTTTCTCAGCATTAACTACTTTAAAAATAAATGTTAGAAATGAGTTAAAGACAATATGTAAGCTTGATGTGTAAAGCCTTGCAAGTAAATTGCACTCTCAGTGATTTTCTCTCTTTTGTAAAACTGAAACAAAATAACTGTTGAGTTTTCAATGCCAACATCTCTCTAGACAGAGAGGGAAAGTGTCCAAGACTAATTTCAAAATTTAGCAAAGAAGAAAAGGAAATGGTGTTATATTTTACAGTTATTGGAAAATATCACTGGTGTGAGGTTAGACAGCTCTCTTGGCTTCCTTCCCTTCTGTTTTAGCCCTGAAACATCTGCCATTGATATATTTGCTACAAGTAGGAATTGGTTCTTTCTTTTACCATTTTTCCTCCATTTCACTAACTCCTATTTCCAATCTCCCTACATTTGTCTGAGTAAGTTTGTTTTTTATGTTATACCTAGTAGTTCAACAGCCTAATACATTTAAAGATATTTTATGTATATAACATTATAGGACACATGACGTATTACCTATAGCTAAACTATCAAGGATACATTCAATTTGGAATTGCTATATCATAGGAATCACATGGCATAATTATCAATTAACAAATAATTTATGAATTCAGCAAAGATATTTATGGGTACTAACAGGAACCTGAAGTGTGAGAAGGATATGAAACATGCTTGTCACAGAGAAAGGCATTAAAATATATTAAGCTGACTCATAATAATATAAAATCTATGGTCTGAGGCAAAGAAAAGAGAATTTTCAATTTGAGCAGCATTTCTTTCACCTGAGAGTGAGAACACCAGTGCAAAGGGTAGCTACTTACTAAGTGGTTATGGGTGTTTTCCATCTATTGGGGTGACTTGTGTTTCCAATCAATAAGCACCTCTCTGAAATTCACCAGTTTAAGAAGTATATTTTGAAGGTTTGGAAGAGGAATTTAAGCATCTTTATTAAAAAAAGGGAAGAAAGTGTGGAAGGTAAACATAAACATAATCTTCTGTGCCTCCATGATCATTATGATAAAAGGCTCAAGACTAACA